CGGCTTGAGGGCCTAGCCCGGATAAGCCATGTAAAAAAAAAAATTAGGGCCCTGGCAACCTTTTAAGTTTTGTTATCTTATTATCATTTTTTTTGTTAAACTTTTGTGAAATGCGCATTTGAAAAAGGGACCTTCCTGAACTTTGACCTCACTTAACTTTTTAAAGATTGAAGAACTCAAATTATAGGTTCCTATATAATTTTAACATAAAAATAACTATATTTTTATGTTAACATAATTTTGATTGTTTAATCTGAGTCACGTCAGCCTACTCAGCCCGGCAACTCCAGTAAGACATGCACTGCTCTCCTGTGTTCTCCGAGCTTGCATGTCATGACTTCACCCATATTTCAAAGTGAACCCAATACACTTGACTCACTAATAGTCATGTTACAAGATAAAATCTTGAACCAACAAAGAATTGGGTTTAACATAAAAAAGTAGTTTTTTATAACATAATGAATTAATGTTAGAATTTTTATTAAAAATATTTCCATACTTAATACTGGCCATAATTTTTGAACATGATTATCTTTAATAAAAAAAACACTTCTACATTTGTTTTTAAAAAAATAAAAGCTTGAACAAGAGGAAAGCATGGAAGGGGAAACGGGTGGTAAGGTTGTGTGCCATGGAGCGGAAATTATAATTATTATGTGTGTGTGACATAAAATGGAATTTATTATTAACTTTATTTATTGTATCTTAATCTTATATCACATTTCAACGTACCAAATTAAAATATATGAATTTAATTATCACTTTTTTAATTATAATTCAACCACAGTTTGACAATTAGAAGATTGTACAACTGAAATCTTTACTATCACTCTTTTTTTTTTTATATAAGTATCTTCTTAATTATTGGAGGTAATTTTATTTAAAATATTGTCCAACATTAAATATGGATATATCTTTTAGTGTGGATTCAAATTTTAATCAATTATATTGTGTGTGAAACTAACTTTTTTTTGGTAGACTCAACTCCTATTATTTAGATGATCAATTCTCAGAGAAAATGGAAAATAAAATAACTTTGTTTCCCAAAAATTTAAATATATAACATTTTTTTATTTTTCATTTATAGATAAAAGATAATTATTATCTAAAATAATTTATTATAAAATTTCATTGTTTTATAAATCAATTACAATTTTATTTTAATTTAATCTTCCATTTTAAAAAATGAAATATAATTCAAAGAGATAACAAAAATTTTAATTCCTTAAAATTTTTTATATTATGATTTGGTTCTCTCAAATTTTTTACACTTATCGAGTTGGTCATTCAAGTTTACTTTAACTAGCTTTCAAGATAAAAGAATGACGAAGTAAAAGATGCATGACAGTAGAAGACTCACTAGGGAATGAGATGCATGGTGATGAAAAAGCATCCAATGATAATGAGCAATGTTTTGAAATTGAGATTGGATGTCAAATCGAAAAGAACAAAGGGTCATATTTCTCACAATTCAAATAATTAAACTAGTAATCAAACTGATAATATAAAAATAATATTAATATACATAAATATATAAATAAAATATTAATTTATTGATGGTGCTTGATATCTCAATGGCAAAGGTTTGACGACTGGACCGCTAGAGTTGGAAGCAGAGATATGTTGATACAAGCTCATGATCTCGAAGCAAAATGCTAGAGATGGAGGCATGCTACTATCTCACAACTCACGAGCTTTCGATCTTAACACTAAAGGCTGGATTATTAGAACTAAAGGCAAAGGTTGGAGGAGATATCAGATATTGAGCCTGAGACATGGACGAGAGATCAGAGATTGGAAAAAAGAAGCCAAAAGAGAACGATAGATTAGAAAAGAGAAATCACTAATCCAAGCGATTGGGCTTAATTTTTTTAAGCTTTGGATTGAGTTGACTCGGTCCAATTTTCAAGTTAAATCCGATCTAAATGACCAAGTAGTTTAAATAGTTGAACTAAGCCATTTGTTGAGTAGTCGATAGTCAAACCGTTTGGTCCGATTTGAGTTTTAAAACATTGACAATAAGAGATGATGCCTTGACCAAATAATTCCACCACATGATTTTATTAGCGATATGTCATTTTCATTTTAATTCATAAAGACTAACTGTATATAATTTAAAATTTTAGTAACTTAATTGATAAAAATTAAATTTTAATTATTAAATTATCAAATTGATAACTAAAACACTACCAAAAGTTTATTATCTCTACTTTAAATAGTCAAAATGTAGTCTAATATAATAATATAATAACTCAATAAAGGCAACAATTTTAGCGTAGGCATAACCTACCGATGATGGAAGGTAGTCACTTTTTTTTTGGCCGATATTCACTAATGGTTGGACTGAGCATTTTTTTTTTCTGGGTGTGGAGAAATAATCTCAATTTTTTAGTGTTTAAAAATAATCATTGATGAATTATTTAAGTTGAAACTAACTGATGAATGTGACTGACAGCCAGACAAGTTATTAAAAGGAAAAAGAAATTTAAACAAAAAAACATAAAAATTAGCTTAAACAAAATGCTCTGTGGGCCACTTTGCCAAACCATGAATTCCTTTATCATTCATTACCTCTGTACTATGCTACATTGTATCTTTGGGGCTTTTCAGACCAACTTGTCATTAAAGGCGACCTAGAAATTATTGTTTTGATAGAGATAATATCATATACATCACACATGTTTCTCGCATTAACAAATATTAAATTCAAATTTAATACAAATCTTAACAATTTGTCTACTCACAAGTACATTAAATCACAGTTGTGGAAGAAAAAAAATTATGCTTGAAATTGATAAGAAAATATAATAACTATAAATTATTATTAATAATAATCATGATTTTTATATTATAAACTATATTAAATTCGGATTGGCTTATCTGTCTGAATCTACTCATTTTCTTCTACCCCACATTTCACATCTTTTTATATTGCAATATTCTTTGTGAGTAATATAACTTATTTTAAATTAGGTTGTAGGTCCAATACTTTAAATTTGTATGAATTTTAATATGAGCCACTTTATTTATAAATTATGAATGATATTGTTCTTTTATAATTATTTCGAATTAAATTTGCACCCGGATTCATGTATAAGATAAATTGAAAATTGATCAAACATTATTCATAATTTATAACTAGAACAATTTATTAATTTTTTATATTTTACGTTGATTTATATATTAGATTGCACGTGGGTCTCATTATCTCATATATTAGATTGCAGGACCTAAACTTATGTTTTACTTTATATTTATTAAAATTGTTATATTTTATACTAATATGTATTAATTAAAATATATGAGTTAATTAATTTTATATTTAATACTGACACTTTTTTTTTTGGAGAATCTCGTAACTCATAGTTATTATATATAAATATAAATATAATTTTAATTGTTAATTATTTTTAATAAAAAATTGCTTTCTTTTTTTAGTACTATATCGTGCTTTTGTAAAATGGGACCGAGCATGGCATAAATAAAATGGTAAAATTCCTGATTTCCAGCCCACTACTGCAGTCCTCTCCACGAAGAAAAGGTTAACCTAGTCAACAACAGGGGGGCATATTAGGAATTTCAATTCTCGACGCAGAGTCAAAACGATGGGATCGGCGCAGCAGAGTTGAGGAAACCATCCTCCATTCGCTGAATCTCGGACTCCCCATTTAGACGGGGATTCGGTTTCAGCTGCTAAACACCGTGATGCTCATCGTTCAAGAAGATCAGAGTTAAAATTTAAATAGTTTAAACTTTTTTAATTTTAATTTTAATTTTATATTTTATAAAAATAAAAATTATAAATTTTTTGATAGATATATTTATCATTAATGTGAATAGTATTGATTTAATCTAAAATTTTAAATAATTTAATTTAATATTAAAATTTTCATAAACTGACTATTTAGATATATTCTGAACAAAACAAATTTAATATTAAAATTTTTAATAATTCTTTATTTTATTAAATTTTTAATAATTTTTTTATTTTAATAAGTATAAAATAAAAATAAAAACTTTAAATCCTAACCTTACAAATAAAAATTTAATATTAAATTTAAATTGTCCAAAATATATTTAAATAGTTATGAAAATTATAATATTAAATTGTATCATTTAAATTAAATTAATACTGTTTAGATTGATGATGAATATATTTATTAAAAAAATATAAATTTTATTTTTATAAAATATAAAATATAAAATATAAAATTAAAATTGAATTAAAAAAAATTGAATCAAATCTGGATGGCTCAGATCTTTTTAAATGATGAGCACCAAAACCAAATTCATCAGACTGTGACACCCGCCACGTCATCACCCAATGCCTTATCTCCACATCACCCCTCCCTAGAGCTGGGAATTCGGGCGGGCCGAGCTCGAATAAGCCCAAACCCAAACAGGCCCGACTTTTTGAAAAGTCCAAATAGTCAAGCCTGGCCCGAATTCCTTCGGGCTTCGGGCGGCCTGAATACCCGAATTTAATTTTTAAAATTATTTTTAATTATTTTTTTACTTTAAAATTAATTATTTTATTTTATAAAAAATATAAAATATATTTTTTTAATACTTAAATGATGTCCAGGACTCAAATATATGGTATTTTAGTATAAAATTATCTAAAAATTAAAGAATTAATTAATATTTATTATATTTTATATATTTTTAAAAATATAATTTTTTTATTCGAGTATTCGAGCCAAGCCCAAATCCGATCGGGCTTGGCCCGAATAAGTCCAAACATAAAAAAACATTTTTTTTTAAGTCTGACCCTAAAATTTTTCGGGCCAATTCGGGTCAAGCCCGAATTACCGGCTCTACCTCCCTATTCCCTCTTATTTTGTCAGACGGTCCGATCTTCTCCTCGTTCTCTGATCCGACGGCCGTCATTGCCAGTTCTAGACTCTTCCGCTCCATCAGTGTAGAGATGAGAGAGAGAGAGAGAGCGTGTGGTCAAGTTTTAACCATCGTTAGTTTTCTTAACCGGACTTGACGCGTTTGGGTTGAAGAACCTTCCTCGGAGGCAGGCTAGAGTGAGCGAGAGGAGAGAGACGAAGAAAGGAACAGAAGATTGAGAGAAGGATTTGGGATTGTCGCTTGGACAAGAAATCCCCTTCCGAGTCGACTCGTCCCAGTCCCGAGCCTTTGATCATCGTTTTGTTTTTATCGTGCTCGGATTTGGATAGGGTTCCTTCGTCGTAACCCTTTCCAATTCGTCCTCCAATTTCCTCGGTGTGGATTAATCTACCGCATGCACGTCTGGAATTTCGTTGCTTCATTCAGATCTCGCATTGCGGGTGAGTTTGTACAATCATGGTGGTCTATTTGATCCCTCAATAGGGTCTTTGCATTTTCATCTGATTCCTCTGTTATTGCTTTGCAATGGAGTTTTTTTTTTGGTTTTTTTGAGCGAACCATTGTTCTTTACTGGAGGGAAATTGTGCTAAAGCTTGTTTTGGTAGTTTTTCGTACTTCCATGGATAAAAGTACCATATCAGCTGGGGTCTAGCTTGCTTACTTTTACTAATTTTGGTTTTTCTGATTCAAAGGTGATGGCTTATTGGGGCTTTTTCGTAGCACACAAGCTGAACTCTTCCAACTTATGAAAGCATTTCATTTCCGAGATTTCCCACCTTTTGTTTTCTCTATGAAATATTAATTGCTTTTGATGAAGTGATTATGGTCGATGATTCACTTGTATTATAATTTTTTCCCCGGAAAAATTAAGCGATAGCTGGTAGATGCAATACCTGAGTGTCGGCAGTTTTAGACTTTTCCAAAATTAAAACTAAGCCATTAGTAGTAGTTGTGTATTCTGTTTCTTGATTTTGCTGCTGGATGTCTTTTATTTTAAATCAATGAAACTCAGTTATGTGTTGTAATTTGTGCTCACTATTTGTATCTCTGGCTCTGATTTGATCTGTGCTTTGAATTTTTTTATTGAATCTCCAATTGTATGCAGATTTGGATTTTATCTTTCTGGTCGTGATGGCCTCCTAACGTAGCAGTTCCAGAGTATCAATTCTTAACCCTATTGCTGGTTTCGTCCTACTCTTTTTTCTCTCCTGGATCCGTAGTAAGATTGGGTGCTTCCTTTTGGTTAATGATCATTGCGGAACTAGGAATTGGTCTTCCACAATCATCATTGGCGCCGGAGCTCGGCAACTTCTGGGGAGGAAAAAGCTTTCTTCCACTGCCTTCTCTGTTGCCCTCTGCAAAGCCATCTGATCCCAGCCAAAGTTGATGTCTCGAAAACTAGACAGCCCAGTTCAAACCCAGATGGCTGTGGCAGTTATGAGGAGTCCACTTGGTGGGGAATACCATGTGAGCAGCAGTGTGCAAGGGAGGCAACCTGCTGGGAGGAGACGTGTTTTTGTGCAAACTGAAACTGGGTGTGTCTTGGGCATGGAATTGGATCGAAGTGACAATGCCCATACTGTGAAGAGGAAGTTACAGCTTGCACTTAACGTTCCAACGGAAGAGAGCTCACTAACATTTGGGGATACAGTTTTGAAGAATGATCTTAGTGCAGTTCGAAATGGTTCTCCCCTTCTCCTTACACGGAATATTATGCACAGAAGCTCATCTACACCTTGCCTGTCACCCACTGGAAGGGATATTCAACATAGGGATAGGAGTGTTCCTATTGAGATCTTAGGACAATCAAATCGCCTTGACAGAATGAATGAACTGGCTAAGGAAATTATGAAGGCTATAAGCAACGGGATTGATCCTATTCCTGTTCATAGTGGGCTTGGAGGTGCGTACTATTTCAGGAACAGTGGAGGTGACAGTGTTGCAATAGTTAAACCAACAGATGAGGAGCCTTTGGCTCCAAACAATCCAAAAGGCTTTGTTGGTAAAGCTCTTGGACAACCAGGTTTGAAGCGTTCAGTTCGAGTTGGTGAAACAGGGTTCAGGGAAGTTGCAGCTTATCTTCTTGACTATGATCATTTTGCAAATGTTCCGCCAACTGCCTTGGTGAAGATTACTCACTCAATCTTCAATGTCAATGATGGGGTCAGTGGGAACAATTTCCAGAGGAAGAGGCTAGTTAGCAAGATTGCATCTTGTCAGCAGTTCATACCTCATGATTTTGATGCCAGTGATCATGGGACATCTAGCTTCCCAGTTGCAGCTGTGCATCGTATAGGGATATTAGACATAAGGATTCTAAACACAGATAGGCATGCTGGAAACTTGTTAGTTAGGAAACTTGGAGTAGGAAAATTTGATCAGATGGAGCTAATTCCTATTGATCATGGGCTTTGTTTGCCTGAAACTTTGGAGGACCCTTATTTTGAGTGGATTCATTGGCCTCAGGCTTCCATTCCTTTCTCTGAAGAGGAGCTTGAATACATTAAGAAACTTGATCCTGCTCAAGACTGTGAGATGCTACGAATGGAATTGCCCATGATTCGAGAAGCTTGCTTGAGGGTCTTGGAACTTTGCACCAATTTCCTCAAGGAGGCTGCTGCTTATGGTCTGTGTCTTGCTGAAATTGGTGAGATGATGACGAGGGAATACCATCGCGGGGAGGAGGAGCCCAGTGAACTTGAGGTTATATGTTTGGAGGCAAGGAAGATGTTAGCTGAGAGAGAGGAGCTATCTCCAAGGAGGACTGAGCTGGGAGGTGAGGAATTCCAGTTTGATTTAGACTGTGACGAAGTTGGATCTGATTTCTCTTCCAAGATCTCGGTTGATGATTTTTTTAGCAGGGCATCTTTTCTGCCTGGTCTTGTTAATGGACACAGCCGCAACCCACTTTCTAAACTAGAGGAGACTATAGAGGAGGAAGAGGACGAAAGCGATGGAGAAGATGTCGGGCTTGTCACCCTTCCACCTCAAGAAATAAACCCAACTATTTCTGAAATTTCAATGTCACTTAAAAATACTATGTTAGATGAGAAAGAAGAGAAACGCCAGAAATCTTCAGCAGGGAAAGTTGATACTGGCTATTTTGGTAATACATCAACATCTGGTCATAAGAGTGCCAATGAGCAGCTTCCTGCAAGCATAAGCTTTGTGAAGCTTGCAGATATGGCTGAAGATGAGTGGAATGTGTTTCTGGAATTGTTCCGGGAGCTTCTGCATCCGGCATTTGCCGAAAGGAAATCCATATTAGGTCAAAGGCAGAGACAGAGGCTTGGTACTTCGTGCCAGTTTTGAAGTTGAGAGCAATACGATGGTAATGATATGGTAGAGGACTGTAGGAATGAAGAATAAATGCTTTATAGGTGTATCAGAATGAAGGATTTGTTAGGATAGGCTTGGGTTGGAAGCTTCAAACGAGTGCTTTGTAGCTGGGGGGAGAGAACACGAAGTGGTGCTGTAAATATTCTTGGCGTTTGCTCAGTAGTAAGCCTAGTAGGTTGTATTTTTTATATGATATCATGTCCTTTTTTTGTCTGCCGAGTTTCCTAGGTCATGTTTGATAAATAATTTTTAGTCTTCGTGAAATGAAACTCATGTATATATTGAAGCCTGTGTTCCACTGTTTGTTTTGATTTGATTATCCGTCTACCTGCTTTCACTGTGGTTCTGGGTTGCAAGTCTCTCTGGCTAAAATGAAAATCCTGTGATACTTTAAAACGATCTAGTTGTATTGTTTAATCTTTTAATGGAAAGTAATAGTTTCTGTTGTGAAACCAGGTGCTTCTTTCTTCATTATTAGCCAGGACGAAGATATCAATGTAATGGTGTAAGTGATAGTACTGGAGATAGCTCATGTCTGAAAAATTCAAAAGAATGATGCATCTGAGTCACTTTGGTTTCATCTTATTGATGAAATTGTTGAAGGAACTTGTTTTCTGGAATAAAGCCTCCTTTAGGCGGTGGAGGTGGGGTTGGGGAATCACCAATTGTCCTGTGATTTGTTTCTTGTCTTTTCCTCCCCGTCATCAATGTTATTAGTTAATTGTGGAAAAATATATTTGTAAATCTTTACAAATTTACAGTTTGTTTTGTTTTAATTCAATCTTTATAGTTTAATATATTATATATATTAACTCCTAAATGTTAAAATTAATGATAAATAATTAAATTTTATAAAACAAAAATACTATTGAAATTTACAGAAAATTTAATTAATAATTTATCACAAATTGTAAAAAAGAAAATTTGATTTAATACACATTTTACATTTTTATTAATTTTTGTATGAAAATTTTATATGTATAAAAAAATTAGAAGATAGCTTATTACTTCCTTCGTTTAAAAATTTAAGATATTTTTTAAGAGGTAGATATTTAAAAATGTAAGGTATGTTTAAGTTTTTTAAGATGTAATTATTTTTTTAAAGTACTCTAATTAAATAAATTATTTTATATTTATTTTAGAACAAAATACTTTATTAAATAAAGATAAATATAAAAAAATAGAGTTAATTTAGATATAAATAATTATTTTATTGAGGGATGTGATTTAAATTAAAATGTCTTATATTTTTTAATGGAAATAGTATATAAATTTTGGGTAATAAAAATTATGTAATTAATTCGAATCATTTAATAAAAATATAAAATATATTAATTTTTTAAAAAAAAAAACTAAGAATTTTAATTAGGGATTAAAAATTTAATTGATCAAGCTATAAGAGTTTAATTAAAATACAATAAACTATAGGGACATGATTTAAAATTAAATGAAAATGTAAGGACTAGCAGATATATTTTTTCATTAATTATTTAAAAATATTTTGAGAAAGAAATCAAACTCAGGATGTGAAATTTAACTTTGGAATAATGATTTTTTTAGTTTTTTAAATTTATTTTAATTATTTGATTTGGTGTTTTATATTTTTAAAATTATACATGTAAGGTTTTTAAGTTTTAAAATACAAATTGACCTTTAAATTAATTTAATGTGTAAAATATATTTATGTCTAATCATGTATTTTGTAGGTAAATAATGATGAAGTAGTCATTAAATCAGTTTAATTTTTATCAGTACAATCTTTTATATTTACTCTTTTTCATTAAAATTTTAAAATATTTTTAATTAAATAATTACATTTATTTTTATTAGTTTGTATGACTGTCATTAATATTTTGTAGATTTTGTTATCTCTTCTTTAAATAATAAGAATTAAATTAATAATTAAGATAAATTTAAAAAATTAAATTGATAAAAATTAAATTTGAACAAATAAATTCATAATTGAGGTAAATTTAATAGATTAATAGTTTTGTTATCCTTTTAATTTAATTTAAATGTCAAATTTAATGACATGCGACTATGGGAGCCATCAATTTCATTAGGTAAAATAAGTAATTTGGCGCTGTCGAATTGATGGTAGGAGTAAATAATCAATTGACTAAAAAAGCTTGAAGATAAGTAGATGGCCTACAAGCTCATAGCACCTGGTAGGGATCTTTGGTGAGATAGAGAATGTCATTTTCAACTAGTTTTATATTCAAAGTTAACTATAAAGCAAGATAAACATAAAAGAGATTCACTAAAGATATTAATCAATATTAACTGTTGTGGGCCTGCATATATTTTTCTCATTAGATTATATTTTCTCCCTATGATGATTATATTTTGACCATGGTTAGCACGCTGGGTTATGTATTTTATTTTACAATTCTTATGTTGATCAACTTTAATGATTCCTTTGGATTAGAGAGAAAAATTGAAGGAAAATAGAGCAAAAGGTAAATTAAAAGAGAAAATTGTCAAAAATTGTAGAATTTTTTTAATTATTTTTGACAATTTCCCCTCTTAGTTTCATTTCCGTAATTTTTTTTCTCATCAAACTAAGGATAAAAGTGTTACATTTATTTTTGACATGTAATGTTAAAAATATTTAAATTAATTTGTTTAAATTTTAATACATATTGTATCTATTTGAAAACTTAAAAATTTTAGTTAAACTCAAGTGTTGGTTAAAGTAATGTGAGAATAGTTTTGTCTTGAAAGTTACAAGGAATCAACAAGCATTGATTCCAATAAAAAGAGTTATGACTATTTAAATAAAGTTTTAAATTTAAGTCTATATAAATGTCAAAAATGCCTGTGGAAGCGTTATTCTTAATTGAATTGAATAATATTCAAATATGACATAGTCAAATTATTCATTAAAAAAAAAGAAGAAGAAAAGTTACAAGGAAGCATGTTTCCAAGTCCAAACATAACATAAATGTTCTGTAGATCATGACTATATAGAAAAAAGCATGCTAGTTGAAGTATGTTGAGGGAAATTGAAAAGTGAGCCTAGATGAAGTGGAAGGCTCATCTGTCTGTAGGTAAGGTGACTAATTATTATTGTACTGTTAGTTGCTTTTGAAGGTGGCCAGTGTTGTGCTTGTGATGGTCCCCCTAGTGTGGATATGAAGCTTTTTATGGTTTGATATGCAAGCTATAGATAAGACAAAAGATGAGTGACACTGAGACTTGTTTGGCTGTCCCCTTAATTAGCATCCCAAGGCTAACTGATAGTGAAGTCTTTGGTCTTAATGAACAGGACATTAACACATTATTGGGTTACAACTTACAACAACAATCCTCTGGTTCAAACCAGCATGCCCTGAAAAGAACTTGTACTGTGTTTCTGTGAAAAGTTTCTGCTTCTGAACATGGCATAGAATTATGGGACAGGTCATTTGAGAGTTAGTTCCCAATTCGTTAACCTATGGTGTGATTATTTGTGGATGTTAAGTAGTTAAATAGATGTCACAAGATAACTTAGGTTGTCCTCCCCACAATTTGGTACCTTATATCGATGGAAATTGGAAGGAAGAAGACATGATAAATAGTGAAATTCTCAAGGAGTCAAACAAAATTAATGACGTGAGTCCCACCAATCAAGCTTTTCAAAAGTGGTTATTTATTTGACTTGTTATTAGCAGCCATGAGTTTATATTCATGCTTCATGATTAGAGGGTTGAAGGTTAAGTTGGGAACGTGGGTCATGTTAGATGGATTAACTCAAATAGTAAAGATCAAGTTGGGTTAAAAAGATTAACTTAAACAAAATGAAATTTTTTAGCCTAGACTAGATAATTTGTTATCCAAATTGGTGATTTTTTTTTTTTCATTTGCATGGAATATTATATTTAAACTTATCATTTAAGTTTAATTTTTTAAATTCATGGAAAAACATTAAATGGATTGGCATGTTAATCCATTTAACTACCAATCCATGAGGGTTGTCTTATTTTGTAATTTTTCAACACATAAAAATGGGTGACCAGACAAACTCGTATTTTCTCCCAACTCAGAGAAGCTAATCATATAATTTAAGTTAATCCATATTCTCCATTCTAATTGTATATATGTATATAGTTTGCAAAAAAATAAAAAAGAATAAAAAATTAGTTTTATTTATGATCATACTTTCAAACTAGACTTATCAATTAAAGTTAAACTCGTTCTTACATAGTTTTTTATTGTCACGCCATTCGTCCGCCTAAACTCTAAGCTCCTTTGTACATTATAAGCTAGTCAAACTCATTTAAGCTTTGTTAAATTGAGGATCAACAATAGACATACAAATAAGTAAAAGAGCTAATGGGCCCCATTCAAGCGGGGAAAAACAAGTTTACGAGGTGGGTTTCTCTCATTATTTTTTTTATGTACTATTCCCTTATTGTAAATCTGAATTGTTTAAATTAAATTTATATTTTAAAAATTATTAAATTTAATTTAACGGTTTAGATTATAATGATTTTTTTTTTTTCCTACTCTCCTCAACAAAAGAGGAAAGCCAATTCCAAGTTGAAGCCTTCTTTCACTCTTTATTCTTATCCCCTCAATTCTCAACTCATGGCTAAGCTCATAATCATTTTCTCAATTTTGTCGTTTCCCATGAGGTGGTGCTTCACCTCTGCTGCTTCGTTCGTTCAAATCACATTGATCGATGATGAATAAAAAATTATTAAATGTTTTATTTTAAAAAAAATTATATTAAAAAATCTCACACAAAAAAAATTAATTATTATGAAGTTTGTAAACAACTAACATGAAGTAATTTATAACTATTTGTGTTAAAATTGCTTTATGTAAGTTATTAACGAACTTTACAATAATTAATTTTTTATTATAAGATTTGTATGTAATTTTTTTTATATTATTCAAAGAATGGTTTGATTTTGTGTAGTAATGTATTAAAATTTTCTGCATTATTATTGTATAATTTAAATTATGAATTTGATAAGTTACATATTTTTTTTATTTGAAAAACATGTTAGAATTGGATTAGGGTGTTGAACCATTAGGGTGTTCATTCACTTAACCATGGTTAGACTAGTCTCACTTAAAATAATAAAATTTTAAAAAATATGTATGAAAAAAAAAATATTTAGACAATATTTGATCATATTCTTGACATACATATCAAATTTATAATCAATTGCACCAAAATTATAATAAAAATATTTAT